TACCTACTCGTATGAATGTGTGCTTCGGAAACAACATTCTGCCAACAGCAGTAGTATGCATGTATGTATGTAGCTGTCACTCAAATATACGTGAGGTCAAAGTTTAACCGTCTGTAAGCTGAGGAGCCTACGTACATACATACGTAATTAGGTACCCAGCAACAGCTTAGCCTTTACGGTAAGCGTTTTTGTTTTTGTATCAATGGAGTGACGCATTACAAGACGGCTATTCGTTTACCCAGTGCATTACATTTATTAGCTTCCCTCCAATGACATGGATTGGGTAAGAATTTCTCTGAGATTCACCGTTTACCTTCTATTTAGACCACAAGAGGAGGCTTACCAAAAAAAAAGGAAACCTTTATATGCAGTACCAGTACCATACTTACAACTCAGGTCCGCAATTCTTTGGCTTCTCCATGCGGTAGCCGGTCTTCAGTAGATGTAACAGCCGATTTGTCGGTATCGAAGGGTATGGAGTGCCGCCGAGCGTTACAATTTCATAGAGTAGAATACCGTATGACCAACTGTCAAATGTTTCCGTTGAAAAGGTAAAAAAATACATGAAGTTCATATTTCGTTGTTGTCATGAAAATATAAAAGAAGATAAAGAATGGTAAATATACATTCACTTCTATATTTATCAATGCACTTATGTGTAAATAAATAAATATGTACGCACGTACATATATATATTTATATCTATGTATGTATGTATGTATATGGAAATTTAAATTTATTAACAACGGACATCTGATGCAATTTAAAGTTAAGTGTGTGAGTAATTTAAATACATAATTGTATTCCCAAGCCAAAAATAAAGCCAAGGATAAAAAGAGAATTTCGTTGAGCGATTTAATGACTTCCCAGTGGGACATTTTCTAACTTTTGTCCGACGACGCACAGCGTTTCGACTCAAGGTTCATAGAATACAAGGTTACGACATCAGCCACGTCCATCATCTTGATGACGTAGAAGGCTCAATTCATGGAGTTGCCAGATCCCAAAAAAAAAATTATCTTATAAAAATACACTATTTTACATCACTTTTTATTTAAAAAATGTGTAACCCTGATATTAACCGTTTTACAATTTGTATTGAAGTTTTTGCTTATTTCTGCGCCTTTGAGTTTATTTAGATAGTTGAAAAATTAAGTGCGCTGCTGTGAATTGCAAACATTATGCTGATGGTAATTTTAGGTGTAGACACGGAAAATGAATAAAATCACTAGCTAATTTTCACATGCATTTGACATACATTTAATATGTTTTGCAATGGGGGTTCTATTTATATGACCGATACTGTAGATATATGTAATTTATGTCATGTTTGTTTTTTTTTTTTAGAAAAAGTAAACTACACGCTTAGTTTGAACGCTGTTTAAATAGGCAAGTTTTTCAAGCAGCTGACAAAAACAAGAACCTAAAAGTATGCCAACTTTTATTATTCATTCATACTTCTGGCGCAAATTTTGACGCATATTAAAATGACATAACTTTATTGGCTATTGAGCCAACTTGATTAAAACCGCAAAAAGCTTTAAATGACTACGAAAGTATTTTATTTCACGTGAAAACTTTTTATAACAGACAAAATTTTGATAGAAATGGTATGCAAGCTTCAAAAGCCTCAAAAAGCACAAAAGCAAAAAAAAAATATTTTTTAACAAAATTTCAGACAAAGGTACATAATATGTATGTAATTGGTATTTCTTGTGTAGGCGCCTGAACTATGTAGGTACATATATATGTACATAAATACATAAACATACTATGAAGAAACATCTGGAAAACTCTTTAATTGAAATACTTAAAATTTAGAGCGAAAAAGTAATTATCTAAAATTTAACACGAATTTCCCTACTCATATTTTAATTGATGCTAAGACCTGAACATGGATTATGATAGAAGCAAAAAGTTTTTATTTAATTGGTCAATTTCAGAAAAGGTAATTAAACATTTCGTGCTAATATTATTTATTGGCTTCGTTAGCACTAAACACACGCCCATCATTTTTACTTACAAAGTTTAAGCAAACTTTTTGTTGTATGAGATTTATTTAGACAATTAATCAGCGGCTGCATTCAGTTATATACATACATGGGGCGTTCCATACCAAAACGGATAGGGGGTTCACACTTCATGTGTTTGATTTGTTTAAAATTTTTGGGGTTGATGCATAAACATAAATAATAAATAAATATGAAATTTGAGCTTGATTAATAGAGTTTTAAAAACTTGACAGCACAAAAACAAAAACAAATCGATTTAATTGTTGTCCAAATAACTCGAGATTGGGGCGAGGAAAAAATTTGAAAAAAATCACACATATACACATCAGAATTCTCTATAAAATGAAATATTAAAAATTTTTTTTTTCTTGAAAAATTTTTCTCACGAATTTTTTGATAAAAAAATTAATTTTTGAAAATATGCCATCTCAAAAAAAAAAAATCAGAATAGTAGCTCTGAGTATTGCGCAATATTTAAGTGTAGTATTATGGGGTGCACTCTACAATAATTTGAGTTATGAATTTTTTTTACACCAGAGTTGAGTAAAATGAGTACATTACAAATTTACAAATTTTTTTAATTTTTGGTAGATTTTTTTGAGTATGCAGTTTTGTAGATCATTCAATTTTAGTATAATATAGCAACTTAACTTAACTCAACGAACTCGGAAAATCAAAATAGACTTGTGTGCTGCGTCAAGTTACGCGCAGTTTTCGCTGTTCAAATATAAGAAACATCAATTTAAAAGAATTTTTAAGTGACCAAAATACTTGAAAGTTTCTTAAAATATGCACTCTTTTTACAATAGTATTAAACATAAGTATGAAGACATTTTTTCTCTGGTGACCAATTAAAATTGATGCAAATTTCGCAATAATTCGCAAACAAATGCAATCAGCAAAAAAAAAAAACGGTTGGTATATCCGAAACCAGCGTCCTAAATATACCCCAGAAATACATATTTTCGTTAAAATACTTAACAAAAATAAAAAATCCATTAAAATTGGCAAAAGCATTAGAATGACAGAAATAATGATTTCTACATTTGTACTATGTATGCACATTAGGGCGAAGTAATTTGTTAGGAGCAAACTTTTCGAAGAAAGTGTATAGTATAGCAAATTCAAATTTAAGATTAATTCTAAGCAAAATATGGCGAAACGACTATATACCAAAAATGACTTTTCCCCTCCCAATTTTCAAAAGAATAAGCAGTATATTGTATGAAGGAAATCCAAAATTTTGTAAATGAAAAATTAATTTCGATCGGAAAAAATTATAATACACTGGGTTTTCCTTGGAAAATTGGGAGGGTCAAACGTCATTTTTGGTGTACAGTTTGTTCACCACTTTTGCTTAGAATCGAAAGAAGAAATCGAATATGTCGTACACTTTTTTCGAAATTAAATTGCTCCGCCCTAATGCACATACATAAATTTATCAGTACTATATATTGATATGAATGTACATATGTAAATACTTATACTTCAGCGAAAATGTACATAACTTCACTGGCATACTTACACGTCACTCTGCGTTGTGTAAACCTGATGAGTCATTGACTCCAAAGCTAGCCACTTGATGGGCAATTTCCCATTGCCGGTTTTCTTGTATACATTTTCCTGGTAAATGTCACGACTGAGCCTGTGTTGTTGTTGTTGGTAATGGTTTACGTAAATAATTAACCATCAAAGTTCCCAGAAGAAAATCAAGCAATAAAGAAATTGAAAAATCAAGTGAATATAATTATACACAAAAGTAGAGAGCAGGTGAAATAGTTTTTTTTAATTAAATCGTTAAATTTTGGCAATTTTAACTTAGCAATTCCAAAATAATATTCCTTTGCCTGTGTAAAATTCAACAGACAATATGCAAGCAGCTGAGTAAAAATTTATCCATATTAAAAACGTACAACTTTCATTTTCGCTCTCAAAATTTTTCCTACTTGGGAAGTTTCTGTATCAAATAATATTAATTAATTTTTACCGAGCCCAAAAAGTTCTTCAACTAAATTAACGATTTGGTTCAAGCTAGATGAATACTGCAAGCATTTATATGTACATATGTTTAGTTATAATATCCAATCCCCGGTATTAGTTCCCAATCTTTGGAAATATTTCCCAAATAAACACTTTCTCAGTGTAAAGTACGGAAGGCCTATTGCCATGAAGGATACAAAAATTAGCGCTCCTAGAAGACTTCTTGAGTTTTAAAATACTAATATAAGTACTTGAGCATTACCAAAAATTGGTATACACTACCGGAACAAAGTATTGGCACAGCAAATTTTTCACAATATATGCAACAATTTTTATCTTAATATTTTTCCGCCAATTTTGTATAAAAATATGGTGCATTCTTCAAAAAAAAAAAAAACATAAAAATATAATTTCTAAACTTTGTGCAAAACTTGCGAAAATTTTACAAATTTTCATGCAAATTTTCAACTTTTTAATCAGATTTTTTAAATTTTTTTGAGCTTTCAGTTTTGCAGCCCATTTAATTCTAGTAAAAACAAGTAAGAAAGTCTAAGTTCGGGCGGAGCCGAGCATTAAATACCCGGCGCAAGTATTAAATATATGATTTTCACCTTTCCGAAAGCTACCGCTACATGGTAAGCCGGTGTGTATCAATTCTGAGTAAATTAGCGTCCTTAAATTTCGAAATATTGAAGTTTCAAGCATTTCTGAAATTTGCCGTTATATGATAAGTGGTCGTAATTTTAATCTGATTCCAATAATTTTCAACGGTTTGCTTCTATGCGGCAAGCACAATAATTATACCGAGTTTGGTACAAATTGGTAGAACGGTTACCGATATACATATATGTGATCATAAGTGGGCGGTGTCACGTCCATTTTCCAAAATTTTATCATAAACGTATTTCTTGGTAGAGAATTGTCGCAAGCATTAATTTTGAATAAATTAGCTTTAATATTTATTGATTTATCGATTTCGTATTTCTCCAAATTACTGTTATATGGGTGGTAGGCGTGGTTATTGTCCGATTTTAAAAATTTTCGGCCATTTGGTATGCTGTAGCAAGACTGTGCCAAGTTTGGAAGAAATTGGTTAAGCGGTTACCAAGATATACACATGTATCCATAAGTGGGCGTGGCTACGCCCATTTTCCAAAAATTTATAATATTCTTATTTTTCGTCTAAAAGTTATTGTAAATATCAATTTTGAGTGAATAATCTCCAGTAGTTACTAAAATATCGCAGTTTTCGTATTTCTGAAAATTACCGTTATATGGGAGGTAGGCGTGGTTATTGTCCGATTTTGCCCATTTTCAATACCATCCGTCCTACGGCCGAAATAAGTATACGTACCAAGTTTCGTTAAGATATCTTAATGTTTACTCGAGTTATCGTGTGCACAGACGGACGGACAGACGGACGGACGGACGGACAGACAGTCACCGCTTAATCGATTTCTCATTTCATTCTGATCATTTATGTATACATTTGTCTATATCTATCTCGATTCGTTTTGCCTGTTACAAACAACCGTTATGTGAACAAAGTTATAATACCCTTGTGCACAAGTGCGCTCGGGTATAAAAATTCAAGTTCGCAGTTAGTCAAAAATTGCATTGTTTTTTGAGTTTTTTTTTTGTTGAAGGTATTTTGCATTTTTCCATATAAAGTATTTTCGAAAAAAAGTTGTATGGAAGAGACTGCGTGAAAAAGATTGCCAAAAGTCAATGATAATTCCGAGCTACTTAAAACTTGTACTTTATTAAAACAAAATTGATTGGGCTACAAATCTGCATATTCAAAAAAATTCTAAAAAATCTGATTAAAAAGTTTAAAATTTGCATGAAAATTTGCTGAATTTTCGCAAGTTTTGCAAAGTTTCGTTCTTTGTTGTAGATTGAACCATATGTTTATACAAAATTTGCGGAAAAATATTAGAATAAAAATTGTTGCATATATTGTGAAAAATTTTCTGTGTCAATACTTTGTTCCGGCAATGTATTGCATTTAATAAAGTTGCAACATTCATTGAAAACTCAAAAACATTTAACACAGCTTTTACACTTAATTGGGTTTATAAATTATAACTCGATATAATTGGTATTGCCCACATAAATAGCCTTAATATGTATGTATATACAATCTTCTATCAGCATACTGA